ATTCTTTTTAGTAATAAAACTGGTACATTTCGAAAAGGGTTAAAGCCCGTTCTTCTTTAAGGAAGAAAGGAAGTCTGCGGATGAGGAAAAGGAGACTCGTCCGCCACGTGCTCTCATACGACACGTTTCTAAAGCGTCGAGACGTCTGAAGGTATCCAAGAATGCGGGCCATGCAGAGAGTTCTAAAGAGCTTCCACAATTTCGCGTACATCCACCCTTAGAGGTTCCTTCGCTTTCATGATTTCTTCTTGGACCTCATCACCCGCATCTGTTCTTATCCTTTATATCATATCATGTCAAGTCACTTTCATCACAGCCAGAATATATCACAGAATGAGGTTGGAAAACAATTAGGATTTGTTATAGCTTTGATGCATAAGTTAATCTTTATAAATATTCATATTAATATGAAAGGAATATTAATATTAGTATTAACATAAAAAGAACATTAATATTAATTAAGAAATTTAAATTTATATTGAAATAAAATCATTTTCCTAAAAAAATTTATATAAAGAATAGACACTGACCATCACTAATAAAAGGTAAAGAAATTATATCATGAAATAGAAATGCGATATAATTTTTATAATTTTAATTCAATGCAAAAAAAATATAGGAATTATTTTTTCCTATAATCTATACACATTTCTTACTACACAATATATTCTTCTTGCAATTAAAAATCGTTTTTTTTTTATGAACAAATTCTTTATTGAGATCCGTTCTTTCAAAAACTTTATTGATTATATTCTTTTTGAAGTCTTCTCTTTCTTAATTTATATTATAAAAAATCTTTGCAATTGAAAATTATTTTTTGATCGTAAAATAAAAAAAAATTGAAAGATTATTTAAACAAGGTTTATTTAAAATACATTAGAGAATAAAGTTATTATTGCACTCCCTTGAAGCTTAAAAACTTTCGTTAAAAACGTTTGATTCTTAGTCATTAGCGGCTCAAAACCGCCTATAATAATTGCTATCTCTCTAAGTTTGCACTCTAATCTACAATTCTGCAGAGAATTTGTACTACCAAACTTTTGTGAAAGAATAGAGAACAATTCCGCAACCTCGCGTATTACGAAGAGCATCATCATGAACGAAACATGCGCGAGTACAGCCGATTTGGCTATTTCCACTACACCTGTCGAGACCAAACGGAACGTAAACGAGGACACACACATTCGATTCGCGCATTTTTTAATCAGCACCAAGCCCGATTAAGCGGAATCTGCTGGCTATTCTGATCGGTCAGCATTGTGCCGCGGTGCTTACGCGGCACGTTGCGAAAATCATTGTTCATGCCAGATGGAGAGAAACATGTGGCATATCGACCCGCAAAATCGCTCTTGCGTGAACTAACCACGCTGATTTTCGATAATGTTATATAATCAGAATAAGCCAAGTAGTCAGCTCACATTCGTGGAAACTTTGCTTCTTTTGTTAAATTGTGCATTTTTTAAATAAAAGATATACTTAACTGTAAGAGAGATTATTTGCATTTCGCAACAAATATTTTTCTATTTTGCAAAATTTGTGTTAATTTAATCGGAATTTTCTGTAATAGGGGTATCTTCTTTTTTTTAATTCATTTAAATAAAATGTATCGTTAACAGTCAGTAATTAATTATTCAGAAAAATATTATTTATATTTGCTTTACTTTTCATATGCAAACTTTTGGAGAACAGAATAGAAATATTATCTGACATTCAATCGGAATCGGATGTTTGTTACAATTAATATTTCTATTCTACACTGAATCAAAACTATGCGTAAATATAATACAATAAAATGTTCATTGAATTAATGAAAATTGATCCAACGAATTCTCATAATGATTTAGGACATTTAGGTTATAAAACTATTACTAGAATTCATTGCAAGAATGAATATACAGGGTATCCCATTTTAAACGATGCATTAAGATTTCTCGAAAATTATAGATACGGAAAAATGTTTCAAACACAAAAGTTGTATAGTTCAAACGAGGACATAAGAAGATTTGAAATATTTTTTTTGTATCTACCATAGTTTGTATCTATCATAGTTTTCGAGAAATCTTAATGCATTATTAAAAATAGGACACCCTGGATATATAGTTATATAAATGAATCCAGTTATTATATTAATAAATTAACTACATTAAGTCGGATATTGATTAACGATCATTCATTGGACCAAAATTTTTTCAGTGTATGATAATATTTCTACTCTATTCTCTGAAAGTTCACATGTGAAAAGTATAAAACGAAAAGAAACTAAATGACGACACTTGCTAGTAGAATATCGTATATTTTGCTTTTGTCCAACTTTATTTATATTCGCGTGTTAGCAAGAGTTAAGAATCCCCCATTTGTTAGCGCGGGCAGGGACGAAGGCGGTACTAATTAATGCGGCGATACTCGTCAGCGAATCAAAGCAACGGGGCTCTTCCGCGCGTTTGCATTCCTTGTACGCTCTTCGCCTCTTCCTTTTTCCTCGGTGAGAGGAAGAGAGAAAGATGGCATAAGAGGAGAACGGGCAGATAGAGTGCTAGAGGGTGAGGACATCTCATCCCTTAAGAGGAAGCCTTAATAGGATACGCCGGCGGTTGCTCTATACGCGCGATATTCTCTTCCCGCTATCGGGAAGGTGTTAGCTTCCGGATCCGTGCATTCGCAATTTACATTAGCCGGAGCGAATTACGCGAAATTTATGCGAGCTGAGGATACGGCCGGGGTTGCCTTCGCTTAAGCGTATTCGGGGCCACTTAGGCGGCCGCTCCAGCGGTGGAGTCGTTCTACTTATGGCAACGTGGACAGCTAATGTCCGCAACTATTTCTCTCTCGTCGTACAGCCCGCGCTTGCCGCCTTACAATATTATTCCATGAGCATTGTGTCTTACCCACCGAGAAAGACAGAGAGAGAGAGAGAGAGAATGGGAAGGAAGGGAGAATAGCACGTTTGCCAAACGACTATGTCGGCCCACAATTAATCGTCGTCATCGCGTTTCGCTCGATGCCGTTGCACGTGTAAGGCGTCCTTTAAGAAAGGACAAGAAACGATAGAGAAATACGATGTCCTCCTCGATAAATTATTATAAAATTTTTTACAAGTGAGATTCAATCAGTGACTAACAATTACCTGACATTAGAAAAATTTTGCCGCTTTACAATTATCGTTTTTCAATGTAAGGCACGTACAACTTGAAATAAAATGTAAATTATGATTTTATTATGGTTTTGGCTCACATCCTTGAGTCATCAATAGATATAATTCTCCTATCAAATGCAATAAATTATATAGTTATCCTTTCGGATATAATATCATAATTTTTGATACCGATAAACGTAAAAGTGTAAATATTTTGTATGCTATTTGATCTACGTATTGACACGAATAAATTTGGAAATGTCAGAGTGTAAACAGAAAAGGAAGAATTATTATTTTTCAATTTATCCAAAACAGATTTTATTATAAAAAAATTCGATTTTAAATCTGATAATAATCTAAATTGACATTAACAAGTCACGATAGTCGCACATCCAAAAAATTAATTTCAGGAAATAAATAAAATAATTTGTCTATGCACTTTTTCCGAGGTATTCATAAAAAACGGCATGTTAATAATTGAACTAACTATTAATACAATTGGGACACGTAGATGACGAATGATATGTCTGCATTGTAGCGAATGGGATGAAATAACATTTAACGCTAAATTAATGAAGTTTTAAATGCGAATAATATTTTGCTCCCGAAATCGATGATACAGACGCATCTCGAATCGGGATATACCTATGGATTGTAGCTACCAATCGGTTTGATCAATCGACTCGCGGCATGCTCTTTCAATTATCTCGGAACGGCAACTCCGATCGGACATGAAAATTAATTGCTCGCGTGACGCACATTTGATCACGGCAATTTGTATCTTTTTTTATAGCTATTCTCTTCCGCAGAACATCTCTTCCGTGATAAGCCTAATATTTACAATCATCGAGTAACTCGACAGAAATCATTCTTCTAATGTTAAGACAAGTTGCAAAACGCTAATAAACAAAGTACATAGAGGAGAAGGTGGTGTTATGGTCAGTGTAGATATTGTGACCTCCCTTAATATCTGAGCTATTATATAGCGAATTCTAATGTTTACTTATGGAATTATTTGTTCATTAGCTTGCCGTTACACCATGATGCTAACATGTCAATACTTAATAGCCAGCACTTATTATAACGGATTTTTACTCTCAAATATTTCAAATAAACGTTTCTAAGGTACATTTTAGCATTTGATTACACCTATCTTACTTCCTCATTTTTCTTAAACTTGAGCGTATTATCACACGAATATATGTATATTTGAGTGTGTTGATTGCTATTTAACATTTTATTTGATAATATATTTTAAGTATATATTTTAAGTTATGTAAATTTAAACAAGTACTGATTGTGAGCAGTTTATATACAGAAGTCATGTGTACATATATACATTTATTTGCATTCTAAAATGTTTTACTTTTTTGTTAATTTTGTATCAAACAATGTGTTTTTTCTAAACAAAGCCTATTTTTTAAATCTATTTTTGTAGGCCAAATTACATTCCCTATTTCTCTTCAAGTCATTAATGCAATGTCGCCACATTTTTATAAATAATGTCTTATGTAATAAATGTTTCATAACTTTGAGTTTAGAATCGATTGAACAACACTTTGACAGATGTAATCGTTAAGATTTAAATTTAAATTTTGATTATTAACCAAGTTATTGTATAAATTGTAAATGGCGGGCCGTAATACTACCACCTCCTCTACATACGATCGAATAATTTTACAAGTTACAAAAATCATTAAATCATATCTACTAAAAAGAATTAATTATAGAAAATTTCGTACATAGGATCGTGAACTCGCGTTAGATAGGAACGCACAGTTAAGGAGTTAGAAAGGCTAGAAACTTTAATTCGAGATGTGATTGTGCACTGTTAGAATTAATCGGGTAAAATGTGATGATTACTCACTTTCTTGCCGTCCAGTTCGTGATTGCCCTGCGCCAGCACTTTGTCTACGCTCGCAGGGTCTGCGAATGTGATGAATCCGAAACCCCTGCAAACAAACGAAAGGAGGATATTTAATATGAATGTATGCTTGTCGCTCGGGACATTAATTAAGCAAGCATTTGCTGATAGTAATAGTATTTCCATCGTGAACGCGTATAAATATAGCGATTGTAGTACAACGACACACGTTGCAAGATACATATCTCAATGTAGCGCATACATCAAAGCGCGCGATCATAAAAAAAAGTCGGTCGTGACCATAACACATTTTCGTATTAATTCATTCTCGTAAATCACGAGATACGATAGTATTAATTCTCTGAATGAGGTAATTTTCACTCATTTTATTTCCGTGATTAAAAGTAGTCATTAAAAAATAATTGATTACTATCGCTTTTCTGCTTTACGCATTAAAAATTACGCCAAAAGAATCACTCAAACAGCTTTGAAATATCTACTTGTAATATATCGCGTCGGTTTTATTTATCTCTCTAAATCTGAATCAGTGGATAATCACTGATTATTATTAGTATGTCACTGGTAATCAGTGAATTCACAGTGAAATTCAACTAAAAACTCAATCCCTTAAACATGGAAACGTGAATTCATAACCCAGCTAATCTTGCTTCATGCATTCAGTGTATATGATATTGGAACTGAGAGCAAATATCGGTATTTTAATTATATAACGCTCAAATTTTTCCTTTCTTTTTCGATTGAATGTCATTGATTATGCAGCGGCATATCACTAATTCAAATTTAGATAATAAACTTATCTATTACAGTATTAAATTAAGTTAAGATTAACAATGGATTAATTCTTTGCGTTGTCTATAACAAAAATTAATCAATATATTATGTTCCAGTTCTAGAATATATGCTAGTTACAGAAATAACAGTAAACTGATACTGGAAATATCATTGTGCTATATATGATTATAATTATCGTAAATTAAGCTTCATTAATGACATACACATATAATGATATATATGTATTATTAATGATAATATATTTGATAATAATGTTTCTTAAGTAAAAAATAGTATTAAATAATTTAATTCAAGGAAATGCATTATTAAATTTAACTCAAAAATTTATTATTTACTAAGTGTATACATTTAATTTGGACATTGTTTATCTCGAAACTATCCACAAAAAGTTAAAAATAACAAATGTTACTTTTAACTCAAAGAATTAGATTACCATTGCTTTTTTGATGTCTAACAGTGTGTGTGGTTGCTAATTTATCAGAAACCTATGCAAATTCGTAGAAGCTGCCGCGCCAGTAACATTAAAATCTAAAGGATTAAAGCGAATATTGGGCCTGGCACGGTCCGTTGTGTCATAAATTTCACGCTGGACATCGTGTACACACGGATATATTAAAAGACAGTTCGATGCCATGAGCTAAGGGGGTGGATACCGCCGGCCGATCTACGAACAAGGGATGAGCGATACGACGATACGAGGGAATGCAACGCGCCGAGAGCCGGACGCAAAGCGGTTTGCATTTTTCATGCCGGAGCCGCCCCGGCAGTTATTGAAAATATTTACATGTTATTTATGGGGCACACATGCTTCAAGAACCAAACGCGCCACCGAGCTACCCCCCGTCAATCCTCCCCGCGTGTTCCTCTCCTCGTTCACCTTTCGCACGCAAACCCCTTCTTTTCCGCCTCTTTTCCTTCGACTGCCTCCCTTTTTCTGTTTCACCGTTCCCTGCGGAACGTCGTATTCCGTCGTCATTCCCTCCCTCAACTCCTTCATCCGCTCCCGAGGAGCAACCGCCCCCGGACCTGCCGACAACGTCTCGAGAATTCTACAAAACGTTTCACGCCTCTCTTACTGCTTCCACTTCCTTCTCACCGACGAAACAACGAATACTCGTATGGATTGAATTTTTGATGGAACCGACCCCTCCGGGCCTTCGACCCCACCCTCTTCAACCATTCCGCTTTCCGTCGCCGCTTTCTTTCGTCTGCGCTTGCTTTCATCCGCGATGCACGGTGATTCTCGTGCGTCGAGTGCGAGCTGCATGGAAGTATCGCAACAACTTCCTCTTATATCGATTTCTTCGAGCACGCGATATCATCTCGAACGAAGTCAATGACGAGAAGGGTGCGTACCTAAGAAAAGTAAAGAGAGTGTGTAATACGTACACACTTGCGTACGCGAAATCGGAAGGTAGTCGATTGTTATTCTGCATCGGTGACATTCGAAAAGGGCACAATACAATGCCTCGTGTTTCCACATGGCGTTGGAAAAAAGCTAGTTTCACTCCCTCGTTCATTTTATAACAGAGAATTGCACCAGCGGCCACAGTTATTGCAATATCGCTGTATCAATACACACGACACGTATATACGAATATATGAGATTGTTCTTTCTGCAAAAATTTTGCTATTTACCTACCGTATTCTTCCGTAATTTTCTTAATTCTTAATATTAATTCTACATGTACAAATATTTCTTAATGAAATAAAATATGCATATATAATATATATAATATATATATATTATATATATATATACAATATATTGAGATCATACATATATAAGCTATCCTAGAATTTGCAAGCAATTTTTTTATCCGTTGATTCTCTGGACCAATTTAAAGTCGATTTTTCTTTTGCTACTATATTGAAAGTGATTGCAAATTTTCAATATATTTCCAATATTAAATCTTTTAAATACTGCCGCGATTGGCTAAAAAATAGATGAAAGGCACAGTATATAATACACGTCCCAGCTCATAGTGTTTACGATGCCATCCGGCATTAGTGCTCGCGATTTGCTCATGTGGCTACGACAACTATATACGTGTCGAATTTTGGAAGGTTTTTCAAAGTACGCACGGCCGAAGCGACAATCGCGGCAAACGAACGGCCGCTGAATCGGCAGTCGTCCAATCAGCATTAAAACGCCAAACAACACGAGCGAGAACACCACGGGCAGTTTGCATTTGCATACAACGAAACGAGAGTTCGTCCGGATGTCCTCTTTCTCTCTCTTCCTCTCTTTCTCCCTCCCGCATTCTCTTTTACAACAGCGCATTTATGACGATGTGCGCGCAATGTACCGAAATCATGAACACCGGCCTCGGAAAGCCACGCGAATAATTCATTCTTTTTCCGTCGAGCATCACCGGAATTTCATTAGAATTTATAGGTTCACTAATGACCATTGAAAAATTATTAATTGAATTATTAATTAGATCAATCAGTACAGTAATAGTAAAGGAGGCGGAAGCTTATTGGGACAAGAGGCAAGTTAGTATTCCGCGTTTATGTATTTATCGCGAAAGAAATAATGGAAAATTGTTGAAAAATATCTTCTTTATATCGTAGAGATATAGCTTTCTCCAAATTTTATTTAAATTAAATGAGTATTACAATAAAAAAAGAGATAAGTCTAATTCAAGGCGAGACAAATAAATTATCGGAATAACAACAATTTGTTGTAATAAAACGATAAAAATCAAATATATGTAAAGATAGAGTAGGTTGACTCATGTTTAAGGCAATGTTTACTTTGCTGTAAGAAATATGTGAACATTCAGTTACAATTTAACTTTGACAAAATGCTTTGTATTCAATATTTCTATTGAAGTAAGTTACACCTAAAATAGTTTACAAAAAATTTTATTTTGTGACAAAAATCTTACATTTTTAAGATAAAAAATATATACAATCTTTTCATCAATACATATGTGTGATCTGTTTCTTTAATTTCTGTTATGTTTTAATTTGATATGAAGTTTGTAGGCAATTTACATCGTCATATGTATCAATTTACTTCACTATCGAAGCAAGCTGGCCACAATGCAGCATGTTCATATTTCACTTACTAAAAAGAAACTACACTGAGAAAAAAATACTTAAAAATTTATTTGTGAGAGATATTTATATTTCACTAAAATAAATCTTTATTTATATATATAAATACGATAAAATAGAATTTTTCATTCTTAGCAAATAAACCATCTATTTTATTTTTTTGCAATTAACGAAGTTTATTTAACAGAAATGTATATTTCGTAATTACAATAAAATTTTTTCATAACTAATAAATATCGAAGAAAATATTGTAAGTAACATATGCTTCGCAACATTTTGATATTTTTCTCTCAGTATATAATCTGTTATGTAGCAAAATTATGCTTAAAATGTTCATGCTTTTTAATCGTTCGTACAAATGTTTTATAATTCCACACAGACGTATATTTTTATATGAAGTTATTTTATATAAAATTTTGTGTAGAAGGAAAACTTACAAAATATATATTTGTCGCGTTGATTCATTTATCTTCAAATATATTTTATTATTAAACAAAGCAAAATTGTAATTTTTTTTGTGCCGAAAGATTAAAATCGTCGCACATTTTCCTGTGAAAATTTTACGGAATGTAATATCGTAAACACTGTTGAACACCGTTGGACTTAATTAAAAAAGAAAAATTAAACACATAGATTGCTTAGTAACGCTATTACGTGCAATCTTCATTCCGCATTCCTGACTGAACTTGGCTCCAGGCTTGCGGAAATTCAATCTTAATTTAAGGTAATTATTCACAATGAAGGATGAAAAAAACTGTATCTCGGCGAGTTACCAATCTTATGACGGTATATCAGAGAAGTCGAGGGCCACTCGAGAGTCATTCCCGGGATAAAGAATGGATCTATCGCGGACGCAATGCGCTATCGAGGCCCTGCCATCGCGCCACTCGTCACCCCCGGCCATTGTACGTGAATAATCTATAAAAGGCTGAGTAGAAGGATGGTGGCTGACGTGTCCCTTGTCTACTTGAGCACGGTTTCCACGATCCTCTACTTTTCATCCTGCTTCTCGTCCTCTTACCCCGATCTCCGCCGCTCGACCACGGTCGCTTCCCTCTCACTCTATCTCCGCCGACTTAACCGCCCTCCGACCGGTCTCATCGCCCTTTTCGCATGCTTCCCCGTCCCAGCTACGGAAGGGTGTCACACCGGGCTGATGCGGTGCATTTGTTTGTCACGGTCTCTCTTACCCTTACCTTACCCCATCGC